GCAGCTCTACTCTGCCCCTACTCCAAATGGGGTGACGTGTCTGTCGTACCAGCAGGCCACTGGGCCTGTCCCGCTGGTCAGTCGCAGATCTGCCCACCTTTCGGGCACGGGTGGAGGCTCTGCTCTGCCCCTACTCCAATTGGGGTGTCGTGACTACCCCGCCTGCAGGACGCTGGGCCTGTTCCTGGCAAGGCAGGCGACTCTGCTCTGTCACTACTCCAATTAGGGTGGTGTTTGTACCACGCCGGCAGGCTCCTGGGCCTGATCCGCCGGTCTGTTGTAGGTCTGCCTACCTTGAAGGCGCGGGCGGCGGATCTGCCCTGCCCCTCCTACCACGCCTGCGGACCCCTGGGCCTGATCTGCAGGTTGATCACTGGTCTGCTCACCCTGCGGGCACGGGTGGCGGTTCCGCTCCGCCCCCACTCCAATTGGGGTCACGTGAGCATCACGCTGGCGAGCCGCTGGGCCTGCTCCGGGGGCTGGCGGCGGCCCGGCTCCTTCCCTCTGGCTCGAGGACAAATTGAGGAGACTCGGGTGACTGAGCCTCACCCCCCTTACCAGGAGACCAACTGCTTATGTCACTGCTGGTATTGATGAAGATCTCTCCTCCACCGCTTTCTGCTGACGTCAGATCTCTGCCATGTTGGTATCCTATGCAAATGGCAGCATTTCGTTCCCCTTGCCGGGCAACCCAAGCAACGGGTGAGTCCTGACCGGCCCTCAGCAGGACCCGGACTGAGACGCAGTTTCCTCGGGCTCCTAGCCCCGGTCCAGGGAAGTTCCGGGAGCCGGAACTCGGCCGCTCCGTGCTCGGTGTAAGCTCCTATAAGTGTAAGCTCCAAGAAGCAGTCCCCGCGGGCTCAGTTCCGGGAGCTGGAATTCGGCTTCTTAGTGCTTGGTGTTTGCTCTGATAGTAGCAGGGTCCAAGAAGCAGCCTCCGCGGGCTCCGCAGCCCTGAGCCAGGGCGGTTCCAGGACGGTTCCGGGAGCCGGAACTCATCCGCTCCGTGCTCGGTGTAAGCTCCTATAAGTGTAAGCTCCAAGAAGCAGTCCCCGCGGGCTCAGTTCCGGGAGCCGGAATTCGGCTTCTTAGTGCTTGGTGTTTGCTCTGATAGTAGCAGGGTCCAAGAAGCAGCCTCCGCAGGCTCCGTAGCCCTGAGCCAGGGCGGTTCCGGGACGGTTCCGGGAGCCGGAACTCGGCCGCCCCGCGCTCAGTGTTCACTCCGATAAGATCAGATTTTAAGAAGCACCCAGGCTCTGAACCCTAGCGATCTGTCTGCAAGCCGCAGGCGAATTGCAGCCTGAAATTACCTGTTCTATGGCTGAATGAGCTGCGGTCAGTCAAAAACAGGTATGGTGACGTCAGTTTACCAACATGGTGGCTGCTGGCCTCCTCTGTGGTCTGACCGGTGTGGAGAACCGAGATGGACCGCTTCCTTCCCCCGTCTCGAACCCAGAATTCAGCCCTGAGTGCGGTGCTTGCGCGGCTGGCAGAAACTGCAGCACTGTAACCCTGCGTCTCTATCCCAGCGCGCGTTGCAGACTCTAGCCGCGGGGCGATTTGCTGAATAAGCAGTTTTACCCTCCGTGCGACAAACCTCTCGCGTTTGAGTCCCCGTAGCCGATCCTCGTGCGATAGAAATCCTTCCTCCAGGTTCCGGCGCACCCCACTATTGCTGGAAATTCCTAACAAGATATCCTTTAGCCGTCCTGACTTGTCATACTCCCACACAGTGAAGCAGCACACGGGGGTAATGCACTCCCCTCGCCGCCATCTTCCTTCCCCCCTCGTCATCCATGATTTAAATGGACCTTACCTTTCAATAGGCCTCGTATTAATATCTGACCTCTGTTAGATCTGTTGAACCCTTTCTTATTAGATGGCAAGGCAACATGAAAAAACTGATATCTATAGTCAAGATGATTAGCTATAGCAAGAGCATGACTATAGTCTAGATATGATTTTCAGATTGCCACCCATTTTTATTCTACAGGGATCATACAAAGACATGATGGAGTTGCAGGGACAGCACTTGAAAACATGTAAAAGTATTGGGGAGAAAGTAAAGATTCCTTTAGATTTGGTTCAGTATTGAAGAAAACTATTTGTCTTAGTATTTAACAATTGAACTCAGTTTTAGTTTCAGAATATTGTTCTGCTTTTGCCTTTTTGGATAATACATAAAAATACATGGGTCAGAGAATATTACACTATGTGAACCTTACTTTTATCAGAAATGCAGGACTGAAAAAAAATCAGAGTTACTGTTAAAAGACTCCTTGGTCATTCCTCAAAATGCCATACTACACACCAGAGGAAAAGGCTACATTGAGGATAAATTCTAGACAGATCTCTTCTTTTTTTTGAAGGGAGAGAGAGAGAGAATTTTAATATTTATTTTTTAGTTTTCGGCAGACACAACATCTTTGTTTGTATGTGGTGCTGAGGATCGAACCCAGGCCTCACGCATGCCAGGCGAGCGCGCTACCGCTTGAGCCACATCCCCAGCCCAAGATCTCTTCTTTTTTAAAACACATGAACAGGCCATCAAAGATTTTCCCATTTTGTTTTAATGTTTTGGGAAAGGGAAGATGTTTATTTTATGAGTTTCAGATTAGCAAAATGCAGAGTTATTTTTTTCAAGATAATAACCTTCTAAGAGTAGATGCCAAAGTAAAGAAGCACCTGTTCTGCTGTCATGAGTCATTTCCAAACTGGGAGGAGCTAACTTATAAGAAGAATATATAGTAAATGGAAAGTAACTCAGAGGTTGTGTTGCCTTTGAAGCCCTTCTTGTGTGTTTTAAAACAGGCTTGTCTCATTTTGCTTATTGATGCCCATTCTGTTTGTCCCCTGCTATTATTTTGAGAATGAGAAATTTAGGGAACTATGTGAATATATTAATTTCCTAGTGCTGCTGTTAAAAATTACAATAATTAGGGATGTATCTCAGTGATAGAGCATTTGCCTGGCATATGTGATATCCTGAGTTTGATCCCTAGCACTCACTGAAACAAAACAATGCCCCCTCCCCAAATCTGGGTGGCTTGAAGGAACAAATTTATTCTTTCACAGTTATAGAGGCTACTTGTCCTGAAATCATGCTGCCTGCTGAGTTGCTTTCCCCCTAGAACCTCTGAGAAAGAATCTTTTCCATGCATCTCCTGGTCTCTGGAGCTTTTTGGCATTGGCATTCCGTGGGTTGTTCAATCTTTACTTCAGTCTTCATGTGGAATTCTCCTGTATCACTTTCCCCTTCATTTCATCTTGGATCAAGGGCCCACACTACTCTACTGTGATCTCATCTTGACCCTATTTCCAAATAAGGTCAGGTTCTGAGAAGGACACATATTTGAGAAGGACACGTTCAACCCACTGTAGTGAGAAAGCTAAGACATTCTAGAAGTATTTTCAATAGTTGGCATTTATGACCATTTCCATTTTCTTTATTTGTGGAGAGTGTCTCTGTGAATAGGAATCCTTTAGGATGGCCACATCATTTCCTCATTAACTTAAAAAGAACTGTCAGTGATTTTATTTTACAATAATACTTATCATTACTTTAGAATTTACTTGATGAAGTGCAGTTTATTTTGTAGTTTGATACAGTGAGGGGAGGGGACTTTTCTGATACTTAGAGATCTTGTCCTTATAGAGTTTTTAAAGATATTCAAGATAACGGAATAGGACAGTTTGGAGTTGAAATCAACTTTGATTTGAATCTTGATTCTGCCACTCACTGCCTATGTACCTGGGAGAGTCCATTAAATAGCCTGGGCCCTGGTTCCCTGACAAGTACTCTGATCCCATTGCATTTTCCCTCTTCCCTCTCAATCTCATTTTACACATTATATAAAAATGAATTAATCTAGCAAACTGTACTGAGAGGGGTGGTCAACAGTAGGTGAGATCCAGCCAAAAAGGTACAAAGGTGATTTTATAAAGTAGTATGCTTTTGGTCATGAGTATTTATAATTAAACCTTTTAAAAGACTGTCCTTCAAGTACAGGGTTTGTTTTCTATTCCAAAGCTGAAAGGACTCATTGGCTCTCAGAGAAAGATTTTTTAAAGTATAAGAACCACATATTTCTTCACTCTAATTAAAACATTAAGTGACTAATTAGAAATGTACTCGAAGGGGATGTGTCGCAGCATGCCTTTCTCTATTCCCTGTTCCTTGCCCTGTTAGAGTTCAAAATAAAGATTTTAAGGAAGTGCTTGTAAATGACAATGTGACCATGCATCTCTTAAATACTTAAAAACAGTCTTAAGGCCTTTTGTATGCCATGAAACTCATCTTACTTATCAAGAAGTAGTGTGTATTGGGCAACTATGCCTAAAATGTGCCCGATTCCTATTATGCTCTATAGGTTGGCCAGGAAAAAATCATTGTCACTTTATCAAAGACCTCATTGCCAGGACTGACTGTTTTGGCTTCATAATATTCAGCCAAGTTAAATGAGAAGAAATAATAGTTTTCTTCTGTTTTGATATTGGTGGCAGAGTTAAAGTGGGATCAGAAGCTATTCTGTGTTTTTCAAAAGGACACTTAAAAATACTTAGGTACTTGCTTTTGGAATCTTAACTTTACTACATTATTTTTGTAGCCATACAGGTTGCTTTGTTTCATTTAAAGCTTTTGAAAAAGTTAACTCTTAATTCATATCATATTAGACTTTTCATGCAGCAGAAAGTCTAGAGACAAATGGTTCCCCTCATTTCAGTTGATCATATTCATTGAAAGAATAAACCTAAGAATTACTTGTAGTCTAGTATGACTTGTAAGATGACAGAAGGAGCTAGACCTAGAACATTTCTATACTGAAGGCCAACTGCAATAATGCTTTAAAAACAAAAACAAAGCAACAAGTCTGTTCTAAGGCAATTATTTATCTTGTCCACCTTTGATCAACTATGAAGCCATTGGCTTGTTCTAGAGTGACCGAGACTTCTGGTTGATCCTGCCAGTTTCAACTGTATGTATTTTCTCTCCATTACAGCCCGAGGAAGAGCAGTTGGTCTGTGATATTACAAGATCTGGTTCTTCTACTGATGACACAGCTTCTCTGGATCGACATTCTTCTCGCGGCAGTGATGTGTCCCTCCCTCAGATTTCAAAGTTGAAGAGATCTAGAGACCAGCAAAGCCATGATGGCTTCTACAGCCATGGGGTGGGAGCTGAGGGTCCAGAAGGTGAGAGTGAACCTGCTGGCTCTGGGGAAATTGAAGAAGAGGAGATGGACAGCATCACTGAAGTACCTGCAAACTGCTCTGTCCTGAGGAACTCCATGCGTTCTTTGTCCCCTTTCCGGAGACACAGCTGGGGTCCTGGAAAGAATGCAGCCAGTGATACAGAAATGAACCACCGGAGGTGAGATGAGAGCCCATTCACTTAATGTCTCAGTGTCTGCTTATTTTTGAGAAGTTTCTGATTTGGTAATATTATCAGTAAAAGATGTTAGGAGACACCATGGTATGGAAGAAATAACATGGGCTGTTGAATCAGGAAGATCTGTGTTCAAACACCAGCTCCATAAATTTAACATGTAGGAAACCTGGGCAAGTCATTTGACCACTCTGAGCTTTAATTTTCTCATCTGCAAAACACTGGCCTTTCAGAAGATTTGTAATAATCAAGTGAAATGTGTCATTTAGTGAGTTTTAAATAAATAATAATGTTTATTCTTGTCAGATTTGTTAATGAAATTTGTGAATTAGAAAATATTGGAGCATGGGGGCTGGGGTTGTGACTCAGTGGTAGAGCACTTGCCCAGCACCTGTGAGGCCCTGGGTCCAATCCTCAAAAATTAAATAAAAATTAAACCACATAAATTAAATAAAGGTATTGTGTCTATCTACAACTAAAAAATATATTTAAAAAAAAAAAAAAAGAAAATATTGGAGCATGGCATGTTGGTGCAGGAGGATTGCAAGTTCAAAGCCAGCCTCAGCAACTTAGCAAGGCCCTGACCAACTTAGTGAGACCTTGTTTTAAAATAAAAGAATTTTTTTAAAAAAAAGGCCAGGGATGTAGTTAAGCACTCCTGGGTTCAATTCCTGATACCCCCAACAAAAGGAAGAGAAGAAAAGAAAATATTAGAGGGAATACTTTCTTGTCAATTTTCAATTAAGAAATAAACATGAAGTCTTAACAGTCTTGACACATCTCAGTTTTTTAGAGTGATTCCTGAGAATTAAACCTTCTGTTTCTAATGCAGAAAGTTTAGATGAAGTCTAAATGATCAATTTTTAATCCTCAGGAGAGCACAAGACTCATGAAATACTATAACCTTATTGGTATTTCACCACATGTCATACTTTGGGGGATTTTTGCAAGTTTGGCCCAATCTTAGTCCTTCAGTTTGACAGTAACCAAAACAGAAGATAAGTTGGATTTGGCTTCTAAATACTGGCTGCCTTTATGAATTCAAGCAGGTGTTTTACCTATAAAGAACACGTACCCAGTATTTACCAGGCTATACCTATTCTACTTTCTTTATGAGGAGACCAGGCTAAGAGAGGAGACTGACGATTAAATGTTGTAAACAACTCAGCTGAAACAGTCTGAGAACCTGCCTCAAAATAAAAAGGGCTGGAGATGTGGTAAAGTACCTCTGGGTTCAATCCCCAGTACCAAAACAAAACAAAACAAATCCTAGGTTATATAAAAATCAGTTTCTTACTGCTTTCCTTCCAAGTTTTAAACAAGCTGTATTTTGCAAAAGCATTCACATAGTAGAAAATATGAGAACATGGAGAATGATCCCTACAGCCAGAATTTTCTCCCTGAAGCAAGGAACTTTTTTTTTTTTTTAAATGTTTTGTAGTTGTTGGTGGACCTTTTTCTTTTTCTTTTTTTTAATTTTTTAAAATTTTTTTGTCTTATTTATTTATTCATTTGCAGAGCTGAGAATTAAACACAGTGCCTCACACATGCTTAGGCAAGTGCTATACCCTTGAGTCACAACCTCAGCCTAAGGGAATTTCTTGATAGGACATCCTTGTGTTAGATGCAAACAGCATCGCGGAATAAGTGTTAATTTTATATATAAACACATTTTTTTAATAACCCACTGTGGATCGTGATTTGATTTCAGAGCTCCATGCTACTGTATATCATGTAATGCACATGAGGAAATTGAAGCTCATATTAGATGATATGTCCAAGATTACATGATATCCAAGATCAAAGATTAGAACCCTATAACATAAGTTGCTTATATTTTTAACCTGTAGGTCATGAATTGCCTGTTTTAATTTAGTGCTAAGGATTACCTACCACCACTATTTTTAATACTTTGGGAGATAATGGAATGAGAATTAAGTTTTAATTATCACTCTAATAGTTTGACTGGTTCTTTTGGTGTTATCTGCATGTAGTGTTACCTGGATGTTAAAGCCTTAAGGAAAATCCTTTTAAAGTTTTGAATGACACTTTTTTCCGATCCCTTTACTTTTATAATGTAATAAACTTAGTAAGTTGTCATCTTGATAAGTAGCCCTTCACAGAATCTGTCAGGCCTTTTTGGTTCTGATATTTTTCTCATTTTACATTCTTTCATTTTCTTACTCCCTGTGCTATTTATCTTTGGGGATTATCTCTTTTCCCAGTGTGGTGTCTGATTATTTCATGCATTTGTACCTCATTTTGTTTCACCTGCATCACTGACCTCTTCCATCATTCATTTTCAGTTCAATGCGAGTTCTTGGGGATGTTGTCAGGAGACCTCCCATTCATAGGAGAAGGTACAGAGTTCACAAACTTGATGGACTAACCATGTCGCCTCTGAGCATATACTAACAATATTTCATCCTGCTTAATTCATAATTAGACAATTTCTTGTCCCTCTTCCCACCTCCTCCCCCCTCAGTGTTAAGAATGACACCCAGGGCCTTTTGCATGTTATGCAAGAGCTCTTCCACTGAGCTGTACCCGTCAGCCCCCTGAACAGTCTATTTTTAAATAACATCACTTCTAATTCAGGCAAATAAAATATCAGTACTCAATAATTGCTTATGTCAATTCTATATGAAGTAATTTTTTAAAATTTTTTTCCTATTTTCTTAAAATATTTGAAATATATTTTTCATCTTGTGCTTCTTGGTTCAGATAACTTTGGTAATAGAGTCTCACCCAACTTTTATTGGAGAATTCAAAGTATTTTCTGTGTTGTGCCTATATAATGGATCCGGGGGAATACCTTTCTTTCTCTTTCTCTCTGGAAAAGAAGAATCAGAAATATGTATGTGCTTACACACAGGTCCTAAATATTTTCAACACATTCTTTAATAGTATGATGAAAGACTTTATTACTAGGTCAGTTGGCAGTTTCCATTCTGTTGTTGACGTTGTCATTTCAGAAAGCAATTAAGAGGCATAAGCCTTTGAATTCCTTAATTATTTTGTTGGATAAAAATTTGAAGCAAAAAATAAGTAATTTGTAAGCTAAGTTGCTTCTAATCACAGAAGTGCTGATGTGCTTCAAATTTGCCAAAAGCTACAATTTGTTTTACTAATTAAAATAACAATAAAGTTTAGAAGTCGTTCATCCATTATTTGGAAAATACAATTCTGTTAATATTAGGTTCTCATATTGAGAGAGATTTATAAAGAAGTATTTTTATCTATCAGCTAAGTGTGTTGGGAATCAGGCAAATAGTGATTCGCCTACTTCATCTTTTTCAAGTGAGTCCTTCCTTTAATTCCGTATTTTAGGCCAAAAATTGAGCTTAAATTCAAACAGTATCATGAATCTTAAATGATCATGTCTTTGATTAAATTTCCCTTCAGGGGAGTAACTTGTTCAAATGCCTTCTTCAATAAAAGGTATTCTAAAATCTCTGGAAATGTTTTTGTCAGGCTCTGTATTAGAAGCTCTTCATTATGAACTTTTTAAAACGTGCACTTGATGACAGAGTGGAGGATGCAAGTTACTGGAGGCAGTTAGCATATCGATTTAAATAAGCCCAGTTACAATTTTACCCTTAGTGAAACTTTATTTTTTAGGAAGAGCATGATGTATAATTTAAAGTTTATAAAATTGAAACATTCCAACAGGAGAGTAGAGGAAGTGTTTGTTTTTTAAAAGTCTGAAACTTATAAATCTCAAAGCCAAAAAAGAACCATTCAGTATTATACCCCTTACTTGAAGAATTAAGGAATTTATGATGTTGTCCAAAAAATACTATAATTATTAAATGATTTTTCTGCTAAAAGGAAGGGACAGATATTATAGACCATCTGCAGTTTACTGTGGATCCTTGCAGATATTATTATATCTTTTTTGGGTCCCTATTGTTCTTCATCTTAAATTTCTTTTCAGTCTTCCATGTTCCATGATAAGTCTTTGTCGTCTTATCATGTTCTGAGAGTAAGGTGTTTTAAACTGTAAAAAGACATTTTGAAGAATGATTATTTGGCAACATATATTCAATTAACTGAGTTGCCATGATCTGTTTTTCAGTAAGTTGGATATTTAGGTACAGTGGCCCAATTTATTAACAGTTTAGAGATTTAAAAATTAATATCTTCCAAAAATGTATTTCTGAGTCTTACATATGTTTGTAAAATGTATCTTGTTTCTGTTTACCCAGGTAAATTATAAGTCACTCTGATCCTGCTTATCAGAGATGTGTCTCAGCTATGTATTTCTGCTCTCTGCTTTTGCACTTATGAGCTTTGTACTATTAATTTTAATGTGATTTAAACTCTTTTATATCACTTAATTGGGGGGGTGTTAACCAGGGATTGAACCCAGGGGTGCTTAAGCACTGAGCCACTTCTCCAGCCCTTTGTTTTATTTTTTATTTTGGGACAGGGTCTCACTAAGTTGCTGAGGCTGGCTTTGAACTCGTATTCCTCCTATCTCAGCCTCCAAAGCCGCTGGGATTTCAGGTGTGCACCACCGCACGCCCAGTGTTTAAATTATTTTCAAATGCTGTTTTAAAGATTTCCTTTTATAAGAGTCATAGGAGAAGTTGTGCCCCCGCTACTTTCTTCATTTTCTTTCCTCTGCCCCAGAAGGCCACTTGACAATCAAGCAGTTCTTAGATGTATTCACCATGGGTGTTTTTGGTGCCTGCAGGCCTTCCCATTCACAAGAGGCAGTAGGGAACCCAGCAGTTTTACTATTGTCCAGCAGCTCTGTTTTTATTCCTTTTGAAAAAAAAAAAGCACCTATCACTTAACATTTTAAGGCCCAAATTGCAGCTCTGTGTGTGTGTGTGTGTGTGTAAAATTTAAAAATTAATATATTCCAAAAATGTATTTCTGAGTTTGTAAAATGTGTCTTGTTTCTGTCCACCCAGGTAAATTATAAGTCACTCTGATCCTGCTTATCAGAGATGTGTCTCAGCTATGTATATATACACACACACATATAGACAGACACATACACACACACACACACACACACACACACACACATTTTAAATACTTTTTTAGTTGTAGATGGATACAATATTCATTTTTATGTGGTGCTGAGGATTGAACCCAGTGCCCCACACGTGCGAGGCAAGTGCTCTACCACTGAGCTACAGCCTCAGCCCCCCCACATATATTTTAATGATAATTTCTGTTAATCAAAAATTCTGACTCAGAGCGCTAGAAGTTTGTTTCAAAGAAAAGGCTAAAGGAATTGGGAGGGTGGATTCCTGACATGTTGATACAGTTTCCTTCACAGAGTAACTGATACTTTTAATTGGTTATTTTTTTAGCTGGCTATATGTATTTAGCCTTTCCAACCCCAGGTCAATGAAAGGAAGTAGATGATCAAATTATTTTTTTTGTTTATGTTTTTCTTTAATCTTGTGGGCACAATGGATATTAACTAAAATTTAAAAGATAAATTTCTAGCTCAGTACTATAGAATTCTAAGGGGAAAAAAAATCCCTTTATTACAGTTAAAGTCCAAGGGAATATGGCCATTATCACATGCTTTATTTTTAGCAGGTGAGCCTAGTAAGTAGCTTTTGAAGATGTGATATAGACTGAATATCGTGCAAGATTTATGAATTGTCTGGTCTAATTTGGACCCTTACTGAAAACACTGAAAAAAAAAAAAAAAACTGATGACTCAGTGAGCCCACCCTAGCACAGTTTGTCACTGTTCCTTTTAGTCCTGGATTAGAACTCCTCGTAAGAGTGCTGTGGGGGCAGTGTGGTATATTGAGGAATCATCCCAGTAGTGGAGGTGAAACACCCTTCTGAGAGTGTCTGAGGAGGAAGCCAGGAATGGGGTAGGCCCTTTGCCAGGGGATCGCTTGAGAAAATTCTTGGATTTCAGATTGGACTGATTATCCTGTAAAGAGCTCAGTCTTTTCAAAAACATTGTCTAGATGGACATCAGTTGAACAATTTCAAGTTTCTGTGGCTGTTATTCTAGCCTCTTTCTAAATTCTCAATGTTACATTCCTAAATTTTTTGATGATTAAATAAATCCATCAGTCTCTAACTATACCCTTTCTTTTTAAACTTAATAACTCTATACTTGTTTCCCTTTTTCTCCCTCCATTTCTGTTTCTGCCTTTGATGTCATCTCCAGTATGAGCTGGTGTCCTTCTGGTGTGCAATACTCTGCTGCCCTGAGTGCTGACTTTAATTATAGAAGGTATAGTATCATTGTATGTCCAGCCAGCAAATGAGAAACTATAAAATATGGCATCTGGCTTTTGGCTTGGAGCTAGCTGGCTTCTGTGTGGCTGGAATGTATATGGGCAGCTTTCTTTGTCTGTGGGCATAGTGTTCCATTGTTTCTGCTCTGGGCATCACTAACTCAGTTGACGGGTGTGGCCTAGGAGAACCCAGTGATGTATCCTGATGTATCATGTTTGTCTCAAGAGCTGTAGATATGGTGTTTTCTGTACAGACTTGTCTCTGTATAGTAGACTACGCCTCTCTTTGTTTTGTTCTGTTCACATTCTCAGATGAGGAAAACAATGAGAGAAGCAAGACAGTTATTAAGATGCACTGGTTTTTGTTATTCTTCTAAATCCACCAGTCTCTTCAGATTCCAAATTCAGAGACTCCTCATCATTTCATATTTTTCTTTTAAATGAGCAGCCAAATTTAATTACCAAAATATTTTTAGTATTAAGTTTTGTGGAAAACATAGATCTGGTTTTCTCAGGCTTTCCCAATAACTCACAATACAAAACTAACTTTCCTTTCTTCTTATTCCTAGTATTGAAAATGAGTTTTACAGATGTATTTACTTGTAATTAGTCATAATCTCTATTGTCATATTAAAATGAGGAAAACCTATTATTTAATTTACTCAGTAGAGAAAATCATCACATATGACTTTAGTTTATAATAAGTAATTTATGAAGCCAAAAAAAATGCCAGATAGAAGGCTTTTTGTCTGGCATGTATGAACTTAATTGTAACAGTTAACTGTACAGCTTTCCCAGACCAGAGGTAACTAAATAGCTTCAGTACACCTCCGGATATAGTTCCAACTGGTTGTTAACTGAGGACCTGGTCAGCTACAACTATATTTTGAGAACTTGCTTATTTTGAAGAAGTTCACACTGCATTTATAACAAATGCGAATTATTCAAGTTTGCAGACCCAAGGAAGATAAATAACTAAACCCTCTCTATGTAGCTTCCTGATTACAGAAAATGTTTGTAATTGCAAACCACAGAATCTTTATCCCAAGGATCCCATTTAAAATTCCAAACTCTGTTTTTTTTTTTCTTTCACTTATATCAAGACAAAAGAACTCTTAAGACCTTGTAGCTTTTTAACATTTTTTCTTTAATGTGAGGTGTAATGTCTGTGTATCTGCAACTAACAATTCTCAGGAAGCCTGTCACCAGTTATTATCTAGATAGGCGAATACAGATGGTAATGCTCATGAGTAAGAGTAGGGTTTCTTGGGTGGAAGTATACCTGTAAAGTTGGAAAGGTCAACTAAAATGTAATTGTAAAGTTATAAAAAGTACCCGACACACAGAAACCGGCCACTTTGCTTTCTGGAAGTTACTAATATTTTCTGTGTGAAATTTGGCATGTAACAGAGATAGAGTCTGGCAAAGATTAATTACAACAACTGATTAATTTTTTTAAAATGGTAGTAAGATAAATATGGTCTATTGAAAAATGTGAGAAAATGATTTTAGTTTAATATTTAGATGAGTTGAACAAAGTGAAAAAGATCTATGTGTAGTATTCTTAGCATTCCAGGTCCTCTGGGGGCAAAGGTAGCTGGCATTCATTGTGACAGGCCCTTACAGAAAGTTTTGGTAGATGACACAGAAATACTATATGAGCAAGGGAGATAAAACTAAAGGGATTTTGTGTCCTCTTTCCATTCCATAACATACAAATAGATTGAATTAATTCCTGTGCTCTGTGTTCAGTTTCAGTCTGGAAGGCTTGACAGGAGGAACTGGTGTTGGAAACAATCCATCTTCATCTCTAGAAGTAAACTCTGCAGACTCAAAAGAACTCAGACACTCTTTCAGTGGGGAGGAACGGGGTGACTCTTTGATGTCACTTTCAGAAGAGGATCTGGAGTCAGACCAGAGAGAACATAGGCAGTTTGATCAGCAGGTAAGGCTGATGTATCTATATATTGCTAATTTTGGGAAAAAAAATATATTATTTCCCCCCCAAGAAAGAGCTCATATTAGGAAACAGAAGGCAAACCTCTGTTCATATAAGGCTAGTAGTTATGCTTACTTGTCCATTAATAATATAGCATTGAAGCAAGTTTTTAGTACTTTGTATTAATTTTAAAATACCATTAATCTGCATAGACTTAAATATTTTATCAAAGCCAACTTGGTAGAAATGGAAAAGTATTGAGGATATTCAGTTGAATTTTTCTTCCTTTTATCACTTTAGTAATACAGTGAGTCTTGAAGTATGTTACATGTCATTCCTAAATTTCCCAGTTCTCAAACATTATGTCCCAAGTTTGTGCTTTCTAGAAAAAATACACTTTGTTTTACTACACTGTCCAGGAGATGACTATTGATTCCCTCTGCTTTCTGTTACTACCAGAATTCTTTACAGAACATCTACACTCCTGCCCTCTCTTTGTCACCACCTAATCATCTCTTAATTTCCCCTGCTAGCACATGCTTGAAACTCCTTTGACCATAGTCCTGTCTAATCAAGTCATGGGCCTTGTCAGTCAAATCAAGTGACTTGATCCTATTTTTTGTCACATTAGGCCCCTCATTGTCACCTCTGACACCCCAGAGTAATTTGGGTTTTTTGTTTTTGTTTTTGTTTTTTTTTTTTTGAGGTGGGGGGATTGAACCCAGGGCCTTGTGCATATGAGGCAAGCACTCTACCAACTGACCTATATCTCCAGACTGCAGAGGAGTTTTTGAATTGAGAATTGGAATTATAGGCTTTTGTAACATCCTACCTTACCCACAGTCCTCCTTCTTTCTCTTGGGCAAGGAGACTCTGGGTTAATTTCTGAAAGAATATGGAATACCACTTAATTCTTTCAAATGAAACATTTATAATAAAACACACAAAAGGTAAAGTGTGTCTTTGAATAGGTGACTATAGTTTGAGATAGGAATTTAATGAAACATTTTTAAATAAATATTAACAACCTGTTGTTTGACTTGATTACTGGGCTTTTTGTATAGAAATTTAATTCCTTATTTCATCCTATTTAGCATTGACATGACTAAATATAAATTTGGTACTGAAAGATTATCTTGGTAGTGAATTTATGATTTTTTAAGGCCTGATGAATAAGAGAATTTAGGCCTAAGGAAAATCAAATTGAAGATATAAAGGAATTTTTCCACTTTTTAAAAAGTTTTTAAAAGTTTCTACCTTTATCAACCACATAAGAAAAAGTTAAAAAAAAAAAAAAAAGACTGTAGAGAATATGCTTATTGATGCAAGCGGTTTAGATTTATCCAGCCTGATGGTGACAAAAGAAAGGAGGGGAAATAGTAAAAATTATTTGGTGACTATCAAGTATAACTTTGATGAAGGTAAATAAGCCATGAAAAATACATTGCATTTCAAATGGATGGAATCTTTGGGGATTCAATTACAAGGCCAGATAAAATGCCCAAATTGTAGATTTGCAAAGAGAATCAAGTACTTGGAATCAGTGAATCCCTTCAGATTCATCTCTCAAAATCTTATAAACATGAGAACTTCGAGCCCACTTAAGCGACCTGCCTAATAACATGTAATTATTTGCGGAGTAGTATATTAAACTGAGAGTTCCTAGCTGTTGGTCTTACTGCCTCTTTCCATTTCTTTAGACAGGTTTTAATGAGGAAATGAGATTATTTTAGTTTGCTTAATATTATTTTATATGCTACCTTTTCTGAGACTGATATTTTCAGGAATCTGACAGACCCTTTTAAGACAGAGTCATCTGTGATGTTCATTACACTGATGTCCTTCTGAAATGGACCTTCTGATTGACTCTTCAGATTAAGTCAATATGCTAGTAAAAGTCAGCATTTTAGTGCCTTGCTGTGTATATCCTTCCTGGAACTCTATGCTTACCCATATTTTTCATCTTGTGTGCAACCTCAGAGCAGGTATGTGAGCTGCTTCTCTCTCTCTGATCTGTACAAATTGCTGCAGCCAACTTCCTGTTGAAAGTCTGTGCCTTTTGCTGAGGTCATTTTTTAGACCTCATGGTTGTATTTGAAACATAGCAACTGTTTGCCTTGGATTCCATGGTTACACAGGGAACAAGCTCTAAATAATCAGAAGTCTGGCCCAATTGAGTCGGGTTCATGCTAGTAATGGATTTTCATTGCTTCCCTTTCAACATGTGTGAGTCATAAGGAGACAGATTTCATCCTACTAAACAATGAAGAGACTGATGATAATTAACATTGGTTAACAGAATGAGCTCTCTCAAAAGAAATGGGGAGGAAGCCCTTTACCACCAGAAGCGTGATACTGTCTAACTTTCAGGGATGTTGAGCAGGAACTTCTGCGGTTGGTTGGATTTTATGGCCTTGAAGCTGCTGTGAATTTACTCAGGGAGTTAAGTTACTGAATTTCAGTCACCCCCATGTTCATGTAGAATCAGTCTTATCTTAGAAGAGGAAATGAAAGAGATTGAGGTTCTTTCCAGATGCTCTGCTGTTTCGCTTATGATCTTTAAACACTTTTACTTCCATCTCAGATTTCAACTCTTTAAAATCAAAGTAATATTACTAATATTCTGAATTTCTGTAGATAGTTTTCAAAGAACAGGTACCACATGTAGTTTGGTATTTCCAGAGTAATCATTTTTTTTTCAAATTGTGAATCTAGCACATATTCATTAAGGACTTACTTAGTTTGAGATATTATTTGAGGCTCTGAGAGATCTGAAACCACTATAAAGGATGACTACTTTATCTCTGCTTCAGAAAACCTGAGTAACTTCTCAGAAGTTAAGCAGTTACTAAGTGACATAGGCAGACTAGAATCTAAGTCTATCTGACTAGGAAGAATGCTCTTAGCTCCCTTCTAATCTGCCTTAATTCACAGGGTTGTGTCTGAGCATAAATTCTGTGCTTGTCAAGAAGTATTAGAAGGTGTACTTAGTACCTGTTCTTTACTTTTTTACTTTATAGACATGTCACAGACCTAAGCAACGGGGATTTAATTATTGTACATCAGCCATTTCTTCTCCATTGACAAAATCCATCTCCTTAATGACAATCAGCCATCCTGGATTGGACAGTAAGTATTATTACTGTTTGAAAAATGAAACATATTGTATCTTATCCACTTTCTTATCATCTTTCTTACTTTAAGGTCCTATAACATTAACTTCCAAAATTTGCCTGCTTCTTCCTCTGAATAAATGGTTCAGCACTTAAACAGACAAGGAAACGGAGTTTGGAATCTTCCTTTTTTTGCTACTTAAAAAAATCTCCTTAATACATTAAATTTACTATATTCTTGGGTGTAAATCTGACAGTTTTCTTAACTTTTTATTTTAATATAATTTCAGACTTGAAAAATAAATGCAAATGACCCTCATCACACACACATAGCATTACAAAAACAGTACAAAGAAGCCTCATAAATTCTTCACCAGAATTCCCAAATGTTACCATAATACTCATTTTTTTTCAGTCTCTATCACTCTTTAAGTTTCTTTTTTCCTGAAACACCTGATAGAGTATGTATCACAATGTTTTCTTTTTACCTCTAAATAATCTATTGTATATTTCCTAACAAAGATGTGCTTTCATGTTACCATGGAACAGTTATCTGAATCAGGAAATGTAATGCTGATAAATTTATGTTATCTGATATGCATCCCTTATTCATATTTAAAATTTTTTCACCTGTTTTTGCATCTAGGACCTAATCCAGGAACATATGTCAAAATTTTAAGTGGCCATGTCTCTTTAGTCTCTTTTAATTTGAAAGTATTCCTCAGTTAATAAAGATCAGTAGAGATACTCTCAACAAGTAACTGACTTGAATACATCAAAACTGTCAAGCTCATGAAGGGCAAAGACTAACCGAAATTCAGTTTTAGTGAAGCAGTACCAGGAGGAACACTAGTGGAATTGTATGCAGAGTCATGCCCATTGATGTGTAGAGTTGGTACATAGAGATGTCGTGGTATCCATAAACACAGGGTTTTGTGGATAAAAAATGCTGAGAAACATTTGAACTGGATAAATGCCATAGAAAAGCACCATGTTTGAAAACACCTCCTCCAAAAGATAGATAGATAGATAGATATAATATATATTTTTAAACAATTAATTGCAATATGAAATCTTGATATAAAGGTTAAGTCAAAGAGGGAGTGATGCACAACATTCTTTGCTGAAAGGCCAAGTATTCTGGATGCTGAAGCAAAGGAGCAAACACAAGCTATTTGTATCTCGGCTGTTTTTTTAGTGTCTCCTGATTTTATAACTCAGTTGGAAACAATGGAGCCAGAATAGCTTCCCTGTATCAGTGGGATGTTTTTTCTTACTTCATGGCTTACTGCAAGCCTAATCTTTTTAATTTCCACAGGGGAATTAAGACAAAATGGATGATTCTGTTAAATTTGTCCTTATTTTCACATGATTAGCATTTCAAATACAAATCTATGCCTAATGATGATGTATTTTCTTCTTCTTTTTTTTTTTAACTATTTAGACGTTGATGGACCTTTATTTTATTCATTTATTTATACGTGGTGCTGAGAATCGAACCCAGTACCTCACACGTGCTAGGCAAGCACTCTACCACTGAGCCACACATAACCCCAGCCCTGATAATATATTTTCAAAGATACAGATATAACTTCACAAAACTGTGACACAAATAGCTTTTCCTTTTCTACTTTGACTTGACTTTGAGTTAAAGGTTTTGCTGATAGAGAGTGGATATTATAGTTTCAATGGATTTGATGAGCCAGAGTGCTGGAGTGCAACAGCCAAAGAAATGCAGAAAAATACTTTGAGACTTTCAGCTCCATACACCTTCCTTCTGTGACCAGAAAGTGTTATGGCACAATGGAAGTCCTATTCCTTGAGTGACAGATAAAACCAATTCCAACAGAATGTGTTCCATAGAGAGATCTTTTTCCTATAATATCTGACACACAGTTTCCTTGTGGATGAAATACTTTTATTTTATTGTTTTTCCTCCAAAAGCAATATGGTTTTTTACTGTGTTTTCAGTTGCTATTAAAAACACTATAAATAATGTGGCTAATGCCCAGAAAACACTGTTTTACAGATTCTGGCACATATAGCTTTTCCCCCCCGCTGTTGCTGGGAAATTATCTACCCAGCCTATTGACTACCTAAACCAGTGTAGGCTATTGTCAAGAGTAAGAGTTTGAAGCAAGATTTTAGTCCTTTCATCAGCACATAGTACCCTCATTTTGATTTATAGTATGCACTTCATTTAGTTTTGAATAACTAATTTCTTACTTCCCTAAATTGGCATATATTATATTGGAAGATGAATCACTGTTTATATCACTACTTCACTTTAGTTTTTCCCATATACAGTTTATAAAATTCCCAATTGTATTTCTTATCTTTTTCTAGAAATATGACCATAAGTCTTTTTGGAAATGTTAAAATTCTGACTGTTGAAGATAAAATTAATATTGTTAAAATCTATATGGTATACCTTAAGCATCAGGGTAACTGGATATTTCATAATCTGCAGCAGAGTCAGAGCTCCCTCCATTTCTACGTCTTGAAGACTCTGCATGGTTCGTCTTTGTTTATGGTTTTCCTAGTGGAAAGTGTCATCATTAAATCTACAGTTGATTTTTAAAGCCTGAAGAGTTTGATATCTAAAATATCCTGATATTATATTGTAAGCACACTTAATGGCTGCAAGACTTGGAGCTTATTCCAGAAACTCTTCCTAAATTATGTCAGCTATTAAATAAGAATAATAATGTGATATGACTTAAATGTGAATTTATTTAGAGCCTTAGCATATTTCCTATGATATAATAAGCTTTTGTTATCTCTATGGAGTATTGTGGTTCACAGTGATCACAACAGTGTCAAGGAGTGATTTTTCTCTGACCAGAATTTAAGCAGTGTTAAGAGACAAGAACATTGTCTCATAGGTAGCTGTGTCTTATGAGCATTCATGCTTGTTTAGGAACAGAATGCTTTGAAGTCATTCCTACCTTACTGCTTCCCAGCTTTTATCTGTGCTCTGTCTCCTCCTCCTCAAAAAATTACTAACTGCTTCTACCACATTTTTTCACAGCTGTTAACATTTGAGCAGTTTTGAAAATGTATATCCTTTGAGTTATTGTCAAAAGTGTCTTGTTGGGTCATTTGCTAGATTAGAAAAAAACAGATAAACTTGTAGCATTTCTTTTTCTAAGGTGGGAACTGTTTCAAAATCCATTGATGTGGAAGAAAATACTAAAGGGGGTGACCAAAACATTTCTGTATCATTTTCCAAGGTGAAAGTAGACATCTTATTTAGGGCTGGAAAGCTGCAAAAGCTCCCTTCTTGAAAGAACAAGATGAACATGTTTTGCTGGCTCGTTTTTTTTCAGGGAATAGCTGAGGGGCTGGCTCTGTCCTGAGGCATTAGTAGGAGAACTGCCCTGAGGGAATCCACTCCAGCAAAAGTGTTAATGGCATTTGTTCTCCTTGAGTCAGAGAGAGAATGCCTGGGGCTTTTGTCTCCCAGCAGACAAACTTAAATGGTTTCTTGATAGAATTTAAGAATAAACTTCATATTTGCATATGCAGAATAATCCATTTATTATAGATTATTCCATTTCAAGACTGTGTTTTAGTACTTTTCATTGCTGCTACCCAGAAGATGCCGTAGACAATAGAAAAACTGCTTGATTGTATCCCAGAACTCTTTAAGTACATTAGTAGTGATAATGTTAAAGGCAGATTATGCCCACTAGATGTGTTAACCTAATGTGCTTATTAATGATTTTATTTTCCCCTTCAGTTTGCATGGACTGTCATCATCGAGAAGGGTATTCACAGATGACACTTAACCTTGGGATCATTCTTATATCTTTACTTAGTGTGTGTTTGCCCAGTTTCTCATGCATGTTTTGGTGGGAGTGCTGGCTTATAATTATATAGCTTGCTGTACACTATAAAAGCGAAGTCCATCTTGAGAACTGAACACTGGCATTAATATATAATTTCTACTAGGCCTAAAATGATAAATAACCCATATGACCAGAGATTAAGAGTGAGCCTCTGAAAAGTTAGGCATCAGTGCTAATGAGATTATTTCATCTCCATTTTCTATACTGGCTCTCTATTTCTAACTATGCAATGTGGGATGGAAATTTACTGAAAAACATATATTTTCTTAGTTCTATTTGGAGAAGGCAGCATTGATTAATATGTCTGAAAGAATAAATTTCATCCAATAAATTGGCTTTTTATTGATCTTTTGGTTAAATTATAAGACTTTGTGTGTTTGTGTAGATATATACATGTATGTGCATAGTATACCATAGATATGTGTATTTTGTTTGCTTTGAGTGTATTATAAACTTTCATCACTGTGTTACCATAACATCTTTCCATATATGTTGAAGATTTTCATATATGTTAGGGATATTTTTTAGATATTCATAACAATAAGGTTTTTACTTATCCATGATTTCTTAACATGAGAATATACTCCTTGATTATAGATAATAAGGCAGCTCATTTTCATTTCCAAAATTTGCTTCATATTTTGAAATATTTTAAAAGGACACAAATTACAGTAATCTTAGTTTTTACACAAGGCTATGACTGCCTAAAAAGCCACTCTACATTTATTTGTGCCAACATTTCTTTGGTCTCTGTTACCTGCAGTGACTGTAGACAACAAATAGTCTGACATCATTCAGCATTTATCTGGGGTGTGGAGTGGCTTGCATACCAGTAGGTACAGGGCATTTTGTGTGTGTGTGTGATTACTTTTGGAATCTTAAGATTCCTAGAGCCTGATGAGGAAAATTTATTTATTACTTTGTTGTATTTATTTATCACTACATATTTGAGTATCTACTCTTTGCTGTGTCCCAAACTAGATAGTGGTAGGAGAGGGATGAACTTACCAGATACGGTTTCTTTCCTGCCCACATTTGCAACCTATAGAGTTAACAAATGAGTCTAATAGAAAATAGTAGAGCAACTAAAAGAATTTGATGTATGGAAGTGTCTGAGTAGAGGGTAGTGGATCAGTAGAAGGCTTTTTCAGGATTCACCTGACAATAGGATGGTGATCTGAGCCAGATTTAGAGCAATAACAGGAGAGGAGAGGTTGAGGTTCAGAGAGACCCAGAAGACAAAGTCAAGAATTCTGAGGAAGAGTGCTATAAGGATTCAAAGATGGTACCTACTTTTCTATTTTGAGTAACTTGTTAGATGTTAGGTACCACTCACAAATGCAGGAGCAGGAAAAGATTAGTTAACTTCTTCCATATACTTGTTTAGTTTCAGCTGCCGGGGGAGTATTTCATCTGTAGGAGAGCAATGAGGTAAGTGAGTCTATCCCTGAAAGGAGAGATGTGTCTTAAAGATTAGAAAGATGTTAATCACCGGAATATTGTATGCACATTGTCATACAATGTGGAGATAAATGAAATTTAGGGTGGGGAAAAAGAAAGCTAAACACAGATGAGGAATTGTGGCACAAATGTTGTCAAAAGTGAAATATTGGCCCAAATATATACCCAGTGACTTTTTAGGCACTACTAGAAATTTTCCCTACAGCTTTTAAGGAAGAAAACTCCAGCTATGAATGGTGACCATTAAAAATAGCTTACTTCATGTTTCTGTAATTTAACAAGTACATATTTATTGGCAAGTTTTTTTTTTTAACTGCATTAGAATTCTGTATATATAGAAATTTAAAAGTACATTAATTACATTGTTTACCTAGATAGCCTTTCTTGGAACCCCATAAGTCATTGACATTCTGTTTCCACATGGGTCAGAGATGCCTTTTACTTTATCTTAGCATAATCTGTGCATGCACTAATGTCTCTCTGTTAACCTACTTCTCAGCTCAGCAGCAGATGCAGCCAGCAAGGCAGATCTCCTTCTCCATCAGCATCTCTCCACTCCTCCTTAAATCTAAAACTCTCTTTTCTCTTGGCTCTTCTTCCAGTGATGAGGAGGAGGAGTTGCATAGTAAGTAAGCAACTTTGGTGTCAAGTGGCTGTTCTCCAACATCTGACCAGCTCTAAAAATGCTGTAGGCTTGGTACTGAAAAGTTGTTTGAGAACTTTTACTCCTTGCATGCCATCTTTTATAAATCATTTGACTTCAGGCGTGAAATTTTATAGGGATAAAATAGTTCTTGTCTTTTGTACACTACTGACCCTGATCAATCCAGTGGCCTCCTGAGTTCAAGGCACAGTGCATCTTTCCAGAACACTATACTTTCCTAATACTATATTTTCTTTTCTTCTCACCATTTCAGAACATCTCTTTAAAAACATAATTTAACTTTGAGACTAGCACCTATAGATTAGGGGATGGGTCTCCTTTTGGTCTCCTTTTGAACTTTTATTTTATCTATGTTTCTGTCCTTTTGGCAAACTAGAGGTTTCAGATGAATATAGTCTTAATAAAACCTAGTTTAAAAACATTATAAGATAATCAGTTTTAGTAAACTTGGAAAGGAAATGGATCCCCCTTCAGGAAAATGATTGTCTTCTATTGTACAAAATTTATACAGTATTACAGGATTACTGTTTTTAATAGAAACAAATTTCTATTACAAATTTAAATAATGAATTTCTTTCATTTTATATAACTTATGTTATGACTCTAAAACATTTAAGTCCATGTAATTGAGAACCCTAATCCCCTTCCTCTTGCTGATCCATAATTGTAGCAATGCATTAGTATTGCTCTGGCTAGCATTTTGCATTATTTTTATATAAAAGTGTCTTGGGCACAGTAACAAACTGTAGTTGGTTTAGTTAGTTTAGTTTTAAATGGAGGCCATATTAGTGTTCAGTAGATTTTCCACTGTTAAAAGATATTTGAGAAATAAACACACAAAAATATATTTACATTACATTACCAGCTGTAATAGGAGGAAAGTTGCAAAAATCCACTTCAACTTTGAGTAGAAATGAGTTCATCTTTAAGTTTCTGAAATTCTCCAAAACTGTTTCTTCATAGTGAATTGATAATATTCTCCAGGTCATCATGACAAACCAACCAATGTCCCAATAGTATTTTTTCTACCACCAAAACAGAATTATAATCCACTGGTCACTCAGTAATCCAACATGATGGAATCCTTAAAGTATAGAAATTGATGAAGAAACCTTTGAATCAAATGTGTAGTGTTTCTCAAAATGTGTTCTTTCAATTCAAAAATGCCAATGGGAATTATGGCAGGGTGAGGAGGTGGGTGAAGAAAAAAGAAGGAGTTGGTTCATACCTGAATAAAGTAATAAATCTCTGGGTTAAGCAGATTTAAAATGATAAATGTGTGTGCATTCTAAAATTCCAAGGCAGTATTTGATATGCTGTGTTCCCCATTTTTATCAACTAGGAAATCATAAATGTACAGAGCTATCTATAACATTTCATTAAACAAGTGTTCCATGGAACACATTTTGAAAATTATTGGTCCTGACTGGCTAGTAGTTGCAGCTGAAAGTCCCTGTATGTATATACTATAATAGGTCTGCACGTTATTTTGCACCTTCAAAATAATCTGGTTGAAATGTTATTTACCTGCAATAATATCTTTTGGACTAACTTTAACCAAAATCTCTGATTTTGTCATGGATATAACTTTGGTTGTTTTGTATTCTCAGATACTGTGAACACTTAATGAAAAGTTAGCAATTTTACAGGCATTGGTGAAATAATCAGTATTCAGAACACCTCTAAGAAGTCATAGTAACTGAACTTAAAAAAAAAAAATTGGGCAGTGAATAAGTTGGGAATACTTACAGGAGTCATAGATTTCTCCCAGTACCTAATCACGTTTGTTCAGTTTTTAATTTATTCCATTGAAATCTACTAATAGCTTATTCCTTGCCAAGCTTTGTGTTGAGTATTTTTCTGCATTATTTATTTTATTTTTATCACTAGGGTGGCATCTTACTAGGTATTTGCTTAAAAGTATAACAGAATACTGGCAGCCTGAGGTAATTTAATGCTGCTTCTATCATCAAAGTCCTCTTAAGTGGGAATCATTTTAAAGCCACTGATTAAAACCACCATCTTGATTTTTTTTTTTTTTTTGGCCAACTAAGACATCATGAGGTTAAAATGGCATGTGGAAATTGTACATTGATAATTTCATACCTAAATGGTGCAGAACCTGGAGTATTGAGCTCAGATATCCTTATTCTTGCCCCACTGATCTTTTCCTGTCACCTGGTTATTGTTACCAGGCCTTGTAAGTGAAGTAGAAGATCCCCAAGTAGAGAAAGAGAAAAAGCATAGAAACCATTCTCTTGAAGATTAAGGATTATTTTTAGAGTTTATAATGCATTATTTCCACCTATTTAAATTTAACTATTTAAATTTCTTATAGTAATAACTAACAAGAATTTTGCATTTCTGTTCAGATCCTAGAACAGATGGGGAATTTAAAATAATCTGAGAATCCAGTTGTGGAACATCTTCATATCTGTATCAGATTAAGTTTTTTTACTCAGAGTAATCTCAGAGATGCTTGAAACTAACCTCAAAGAGAAAGAGTATGTGTTGTCTATGTGGTAATAGTACTTTTACTGAGCAAGCTGTATCTATCTGGAATATACATGGAAAGTATTTCTATACTGGTCTCACTAAAAATTGAAACCCATTTATCATTTTGTGATTGGGGCCTTGCTTTCAAGTCCTCAGTACTCAAACTGCATTAACATGATAGATGGAAATAATGATGCTGTTCCTTCTGGGTTTTTTCTCCTTGTTTTCCTGCTGTCTGATTTAGCCTTGGATTGTTAATGGGTTACTTCCATTAACAAGAAAGAATGCATCTGCCCCGTTCATGTTATCACTCTCTACCTGGAAGGACTTTATCATCTGTTTTATCCCCAGTATTTCACAGACTGAGGAATGAACTGAAATCAAAATGTCTTGCCCTAAGTTAGAGGCAGGGCCAAAACTTTACAAAAAGCAAGCTCTGATGCTTCCTCCTGATCACTAATCTGTTTCTAGAAATTCTTAGGAAAATGTCACATAATATTAAATTTTTAATATATAAATATGTGAAAGAAGGATTAACAATGAAAAATATGATATTTTAATTTTTATTTTATAAATTCTCCCTGTGACATCATTTAGGAAAATGGCATGTGGAAATTGTACATTGATAAGAGCATAAATAAGTTTAAGCATTAGAAAAATGTTGATTTTTTTCCCCCAGGTGGTTGAATCTTGAAATAAATTTATTTTATTCATGGGAAATCCATATTGCTATCTTTTTCCAGCTCTAATTTGAAGGTTTCAAGTTCTATTTTTTCTTCTTCCAAAACCTGTGAAGGGAGGTAGCACCATACACTGACTTTCAAACTCTCCGTTACTTTAGCTATGGGAAAATCTTGAAATAGTTTATCTGTCAGTAGGGTAAAATTCTTTTGTTTTAACTTTCCCTTTCCCTTTTTTGTTTCCTAGATTCACGGCCTTTCCACAGCACCAGTGCTAATCTGACTGAGAGGTACTGTCCATTTATTTTGTCACTCATTTTCCCAGAATGAAATTAAGAAAATCCAAACTATTCTATTTCATGTAATTAAGAAAACTTTTTTGAGCTCATTGGGTTCTTACTTCCTTGAATGGTAAATTTGGAATAATTATCAGAAGTAGATTTATAATGAAGGTTATCTCTCTTTTTTCTAAATTAGAACATTATAGTTACACATAGTAATTGGGTTCATTTTGACTAAACCGTATATGCATGGTGAAGGCTATATCTTTTTAAATTATTATCTTCAGTACTTTTCCACTTTTATTCTTTAATATTGCCCTTGTGATAAAGATTCTTATGTGCATTTATTCATTTAAAGGTATACTTATATTTGACTTCATGACCTTATGCACACGTTGTTTGTGGGAACTTTTCTTTCTCTTTTCAAGAGCATTGGTTTTTATGCCATTTGTCTTTTATCTTAAAAACAGACTAATTTGTTTTGTAAACAATGTGTATATCAATAGAATTTAGATTTTGAAGGGGACACATTATAGTCCTACTTCTGCCTGCCATCTCACTGAGGCCAATACTGCTTGATCTGAAGGAAAGATGTAAAATAACTGTTCTCAAACACCTAAACAAGGTAGTATAAATGGATTATTTCTCCATTTAATGTATTATTTAAGTATTCTTTAAGAAAATTGTCCATTGTGAGTTTTTTAAGGTCAAAACATGCCTATCTTGGATGGACTTGGATTTTATATAGGCTTCCTAAACAAGTAGATCAGTAAATCTGGATCTTTGAAAAATTCTTTTATCTTTCTGTGTTCTGCTTGGAATCTGCCTGATATTCAGTATATTCCCTCCTAAAATTGTGCATAGCCTCATGGACCAGTCTTGATTTTTCCAGTGTGCCAGAAGGCTAGAAAATATGTGCAAAACTCTACTACTAAGCAACTTGGATATGCAGTCAGTCATAAGATTCGTTGGTTCACAGCCCTTATTAATTAAGTACTCTTATTCCATTATATATACAGAATTTCCTTTCAAGAGTCTATTTGTTATAAAGTAGTTTAGAGATTGAGTGCTATTTTAGATTAAGAAGTTTGACATACAATAATTAATAATCTTGTTCTTAGATATTATATAAAACTGTTCAGCAGCCTCTGTACAACTCTTATTCTTCCATTTAACTTCTGTAGTCCTTTAAAAAAACAATTTTTTAAAAAACTCAATCTTGTTTTTATTTAGTATAACTGAAGAAAACTATAACTTCCTGCCACAAAGCCCCTCCAAGAAAGATTTTGAAGGGAAAAGTGGAACAAAAGTCAGTCGTACATTCAGCTACATCAGGAATAAAATGTCCAGCAGTAAGAAGAGCAAGGTAAGTATCACAGTGGGCATTCCTTGTGTGACTACCTCAGTCGGTAATGAGTAAGCTCATGTCACAGCCTGCACACACCCAAAAGCTAACTAAATGATGGGATCATAAATAGAAATAAATTCAGGGTCATCTCTGAAACAGCCTAGTATATGAAGAAAAGTAATAGTAATAAAAAACAGCAGCAAGAGGTGAGGCTACTTACTGAGGTTTTACTACATGCTAAGGGCCATTCATATATTGCTTTATTTAATCCTTTCAATGACTCTGCAAGATAGGTCCTTTCTCTCGGAGTGTGGTACCTTATCTAATGTGGAAATAGAGATTCAAACCTAGATTTCTTTGACTTCTGGTCCCACACTCGTAGCCACAGTGCTTAAATTAGTAAATTAGGTTTAAAATGCAGTAGAAGGATTTCATGCCAAGATTAGGGGACTGAAAATATATATAGTGCTTGGGTTTAGAGGGAAGAAAATTCTCACACAGAAAATTACAAGAACTTTTAAAACTAATTTAATATCCTCTTTAGTGCTTAAGAAATTATTTAGTCTCAACTTTTTATCTAGTTTATTCTTACATTTTTATTTTAGGAATCTTCAAAATATAAAAGCAAGAAAATAAAAATCGTGTGATAACCCCACATAGAAATAAATATTCTTAACATTTTCAAATCAGTGGTGAGAAACTTTCTGCCTTCCATTTCCCCTGTACTCCATTCACCTACTTACATATGTTCCCGTACAATTAAGAATAAGTAAACAAAGATTTGAAATCAAAGTACTCTTATAAGGAATCATTGTATACATCTGTGTGTTGTATATACAAATATGTATAAATACATAAACACACTTAGAAGTTGAGGGAATAAGCACAGAACTCAAGGATATTGTTATAAAAATATACCCCCTTACCTCAGCACTAAGTCTGTTGTACCCTCAATTAAATGGGCTGATAGAACTAAAGCCAATGTATTTTACAGATTTTTGTGAATAAGATCTCTTTTTTAGCAAATACTAAGTCATCACTCAAAGAAATTTTTCCATAAAATTTGCTATCAGAATTGTGTCTTCTCTGTATTTATCCTGCCCAATTGCAAAAGGAGAGAGAGTCAACAACTGGGAAAAGATGCAGTCTTAGCAATTCATTTCTAGCTTAATCACATATTTAAATATTAACTTCTAGAGCTCACAGCCTTGACCTTGAAAATTTTTATGATGTAATTTGAATGATTTTAGAATTTTTTATAGTGTTTTTAAACTACAAATCTTGTTTTCAAACAAACTTTTAATTGGAAGACCAGTGAGTGAGTAGATTCCTGTTTCTATCAATGTCTCCAATTACATGGATTTTTAGAAGAGTTCAGTGAATCACTGATGTTGATGATATAACAAGACATTTTTTTTTTAATCGGTGTAAGACTGGATTTAGAAACTGGAACCTGACCTTTAAGAAAGTCATATCCCAGCCTCCTTACTTAACAGACTGAAGCACAGAGAAGTATGCTTCAAGCCACAGAACTGTATTAAGGCAAAACCTCTTGTGATTTGACCAGCAAACAACACTGGTCATTTCATGCTTACTTTTTTTTTTAATATTTATTTTTTAGTTTTAAGTGGACATAATATCTTTATTTTATTTTTATGTGGTGCTGAGAATTGAACCCAGTGCCTCACGCATGCTAGGCAAGCAGGCTACCACTTGAGCCATTTCCCCAGCCCCTCATGCTTACTTTTATACAACATCTGTTATTAAGCAGTATATATTTTTCCTTTTTCTTCTTTATAATTTTTTCCCCTAATCTCAGAGGATTAGAGTTAGGGAGTTGAGATAAGATAGAAGAAAAGTTGATAATTTTTGTTAGAGGGAAATTTGTCATCACTGGCAGAAGCAGTTGACCTCTTGCTTCTGATCATCTCCTTCATCAAAATGACAATACTCTTTTGTAATTGAGACTGGTTCCTCTTTTGGATTTGACTTCAAGATTTGATCTTTGGGGGCTGTGCTGTCTCTAGCAATGGAAACTCAAAAAATTACAGATGCATAATCCTGGGTTGCAATCTCTTTTCCATTATCAGGTATCAAGAGTGCCCCAGTGGCCAAGTATATTAAAACATCCCCTTTCATAGTTAGTTTTTATTAACTTTTAAATAAGATTGTTATGAACCCTCCTGTAGAAATGCTTGGATTTTGTTAGTGTCACCAAAGATAATAAGAAATGGGGAAATAGTGAAGTTATACATGCTGTGTTGAGTTACATTAATTTCCCTGTCTCAAGATGCCACATGTCCACAGAAGAACTTTGCCATACAAAAGCATTTTATTTTCTAATTGATAGCACAAAAATAAATAAATATATTTTTTAGCATGATAATTCTCATTCTCTTTTCTTAACTACTAAATAATATTACTTCTCCTTAATGATAAAAAAACTAATATAGGGCTGGCGATGTGGCTCAAGCAGTAGAGCGCTCGCCTGGCATGCGTGCGGCCCGGGTTCGATCCTCAGCACCACATACAAACAAAGATGTTGTGTCCGCCTAAAACTAAAAAATAAATAAATATTAAAAATTCAAAAAAAACAACTAATATAAATGTTAACACTGACTTTTCTATGAAAATGTTAAATTTTCACTTCTTTCTAATTATTTTTAAGTATACGCTATCAAAGTCAGCTTGTCTTATTCATCTCCTGAACAATGTAACCATGCCTGTTTCTTCTAAAGGAAAAATTTAAGCTACTGAATATCATATTAAATTGGCACCTATAATTCTTATCTACAGGTGGTTTGGAAATTTCTGCTTTTCTTCTGCATGATACGTGTGTTTATATAAAATAGCTTATAGTTTATATAAAATAGCTTATTAACCTAGATTTATTACATAAAATATATTAAATTTTGACTGTAAACACTTCTTTAAAAATATTCAAAGAAGCCCAAACTCATTTGTTTAAAAAAGAACTATTCCCATCAGCCTATCAGACTTTCAAAGGTAATGTACTCTTAGCAGAGTACATTAATGTTTATAAAGATTTAAGACAAAGTTAAGTCTAATTCTCTCCTTTCTTCTTTAATTAAACAGCAAATTATTCACCTTCCTGGTATATTTTGCCTGTAAAGGAAATTTAGTTATCAATTCTTTCACATGTCCTTTTGAGAGTTATCAATAACTGATTTGCTATTGGATAAATATGTTGAATGTTTTCAGGAAGGAGTGGAGGAGCCTAAACAGGAAGTATAACAGGAAGACTGGTAGTTTCTGCTTTTGTCTTAGTATCTTAGAGAGGTAGTTCTGTTTCCGGCTAAGTAGGTTTACTTGTTAGCAATATTTAAACACTCAAATACAATGTTCAGTTTCATAAAGAGAGTGGATTGACCATCCTATTGCTCTAGTTTTCTCTCCTGCTAAGCTTTCCTCTTTGCAGAGACAGCTAAAAGATGGTTAGATAACGTTGTAAACCAATTCTTAGTCTGACTGAACAAAGGCATTTTGGAGTACATGGGTAAAATTCCTGCTCAGCTAATATACTACATGACCTTTACAGCAAAACATTCAACTCCAGCTCCTATGGTTTGTTTAAAAAAGAACTATTCCCATCAGCTTATCAGACTTTCAAAGGTAATGTACTCTTAGCAGAGTACATTAATGTTTATAAAGATTTAAGACAATGTTAAGTCTAACTCTCTCTTTTCTTCTTTAATTAAAGGTTTATACCTGGACAGTTGTTTAATCACATTGTTTTCACAGTTGTCCAGCGCATTCTGTTGGTTTTTTTTTTTTTAAACTACAGTTAACTTGCCTAAAAAGAAAGACTTAGAAAAGTGAAAATACATTTTCTTTCATAGTATCCTATTATAGTAACATAGTTGTTACCGATACCTTTCCCTTTTAAATACTGTTAGAGTCTATTTCCACACCACATAGTTAAAACATTTTGACAGTTATTAAAGGTGAACAAGTCAAACTTGAGAAAACAGTCAACCACTACTTTATCATAGGCAACTTCACTAAAAACATTTATGAAATTCTGCTTTTTTATAAAATTGGGGGTTTGATAGTAAATAAATAAATATATATTCCTTCTAGCATTAAAAATACCATCAGCCTTTGCAAGAGTTGCCCTATTGCAATGCAAGCACTATCCACATACACTGTATTTGGGGGGATTAGCTTTGTTTCATTTCCTGTATCTTTTATTAATGGGGTAGTTTTACTAGGCAGCATTCAAATAGTTAAGATTATCTTAAGGAAACCAGCAGCCTCAGCCCTCCCTCCTTCCCTTTCTCAACCAGTCTCTGGCTTCCTCTTACGGTTTCGCTAGTGGCAGCGCAAAGCTGCTGAGCTCTGCCCTGCAGGCATGAGCCCCTCCTTCCGTGAGAGCACATTTCCTGGCATGGGGGTCGAATCATGTCGCTAAAATGGGGTCGGCTTCCTGAAGTGCCCCTCATAACAGTGAGACTCACAGGACCAAAACATGGGGAGGTAAGAGTCAAATTCTAAAACAGACGAAACAATGTAGTTGGTTTTGTTTTTATCCATAAAGAACTAGTTTGAGTTGCTGCAAAGGTTGAAGGAATTATTTATTCTGATTTGAAGAGCATTACAAGGTTTTAGAGAATAAACTAATTGTCATAGAAGATTCTTTTAACTACCACAGCATGCTTTTGGCTTTCTTCAGCAAAGCATCAGATGCTTTTCAGTTTGATGTTTTGTGCATGGAGAAACCTTTAACAAAATTTAGTTTAAAAAAAGGAGCTCTTTGGAAGAACTCAATTTTTGTTATTGATTTTTATTTTGACTAGAATTTTGTATACTTTAACAGTTGCCAATTTTCACTTAGCACAGTTTCCTTTTTTTTTTTTTTTTTTTTTTGGTAATGTGAAGTAGTTTTTCTCCCTTCCTCTCATTATTTTGTATAGTTGGAAAACATAGCATTTTGGTGCTCAGTTTTTGTGTGTTCTGTTAATAAAGGACTTCACATGCATCAAATATTCACCATTTCAGTGTGGTAGACAGGTTCTGAACAGAAAGTCAGAAGACCTGGTTTCTAATTTTGACTGCTAACCATTTGCTTTGTGAACTTTTGCAAGTTAACAGATCTCTCCAGCCCTTGATGGTTAGTATGATGAATGAGAGTGCAGCTTTAGAGTCGGCCAAATATGAATCTTAATTCCAGTTTGAGCAATTGTTGATGTGTGGCTTCAAATAGATTATTAAACATCTCTAAGCCTCAGTCTCTTCATATGTAAAATGAAGATAACTAGTATTTAATTCATTGGGATGTTGTGAGAAACTTATGTAAGTCACTTATTACAATGTTTGGTACGTAGCAACTTTTCAGAATTTTAACTTATTTATCTTCTCAATTGTAAAATGGAAATCTTAATACCTACCCTGCCCACTTCAGAGTTATTGAATCAGATGAAATAATTTATATAGAAGGCATTGATTTAAAATGTTAGGCATTTAGTAGTTGTCATGATCACTAACTGGGGAACCCATTTTCCAGGTGTTTATCTAAATGATAACAATAGTATACAGCAGTAGTGAAACTCCTGCCAGTATGTATTGTAGTTCTTTCAGTTGATTTGAAAAGAAATTATTCCATTGCTATTGATTAGCCAGCTGAGTGCTTTGTCAAACAGTGCTTCTTTTAGAACTTTTTGGGGAGAAAAACTTTTTAGGTCCCCACAGTTCCATATAGTGTTTGCTTGAAATGTCCCTATTTTATGTGTTTCATTAAGTATCTGGTATTCTGCAGTATTTCTTCAGATTTTCAAGGTTTAAATTCTTTTCCATTTCTTTTTGTGCCTGTATAAGTGTTGATAACAACCCCTCTTAGATTGAGATTTGAATCACATGAAAGCCCTCTGCTTTCAATCAGTCTCCAAAAATGTCATTTTTGACATTTCTATATTGTTTTGAGATAACATCACCAAGCATTCTGGTACTCAGAAGTCTTACACCCAATCTAGGCAACCTTTTTCTCATTGGATCTAGTCTCTAGTTTTCCAGTATCCCCTGAGCCTTGGACCTGGCCCAGGTAGTCTGCCCAGTCGCCAGAAAGCCAGGCACACGGTAAACTTAGATACATGTCAGTTTCCTGTTCCCCTTGACAGGTGAGGGAAGACCTTGTGAAAAGAAGGGCCCATTGTAAAGAAGATCAGAGAGCAGATATTGGGATACCTTGTCTCTTCAAACCATAGCCAGTCTGCCACCTTTACTTATAGGGCCTCAGGGCAGAGGAGTGAGCAGCTAGGCCTTGGGACTTCCTTTCTCTGGGTACCCATTTTCTTAAAGGAAGTGACCACTGTGGGTAACTAGGCTGAGGGGACAAAGGAGGTAGTTTTTAGAGTGGTTGTCAACAAGATTTCTTCCTCTCATCTTTTTCATACCCCCTATCTGCCTGGCTCAGCAGCAGTGTCTTTGCCATTCTTCAGTTTTCTTTGTCTTCCTTCCTCATGTCACAATTTCTCTCACTGCCAGGGAAATATTTCTATGTTGCACTAAGAGAGTAATAAACTAATGAAGCTCAGTGAGGTATGAATAATTATTATAACAATTTAATAATTGCTTGCTAAGAGCCAGACACTGAAAAACGCTTTCCATATATTGTCTTATCTAATTTTTTTAAAACATGGGATTGGTACCTTCCTCATTTTACAAATGAGGAAACTGAGGTTCAGCAAATTAACTTGTGCCCCTTCACACCATTAATAAGCAGTAACGGTAGAACTTAAGATTTTTACCCAGGCCTGACTCCATTGTCGTTTTGGTTTTTTGTTTGTTTGGTTGGTTGGTTGGTTGTTTGGTTTGCTTGATTGGTTAGTTGATTGATTGGTTTTCCTTTTTTTCATTGTCCACATTCTTAAGAACTGTGCAATTTTTTGTTCTCTGAGCAACCTCTTCTTCCCAATTTGACTACGAGAGGAATATAATATCTATTAGTCTTGGAATTCTAATTAGTGAAAACTGTATATGTGGGGGATATTTAGTAATTTCGGCTATAATAAGGAGGAAATATCAGAGACGCTCCTCACTTACGGATATGTGACTAGTATGAAAAACAAAGGAGTCTCAGTAATTTTTCATGCTTTATGATTATCTGTCCTTACAAGCTAACCCAGAATTGCTACTATTCCTTTTTGTTCCTTGCCTAAAGCTGACCCTCAACTCAATGCTTTATTCCTATGTGGACTATGCTATGGCATACTGAGGAGACCCCTCATTGCCCATTGTTGGTAATTAGTCATTGTATCTATTGGTATAAATAACCCTGAGTGAGCCACTGTCCAAACTGTGGAACCTATCCAGTTTTCATATGATTTTTCTAATGCAGTTTTTAAAAAAATGCCCAGAACATTATTCCCCAGTTTTATCCAAAATATTCACCAACCACCCATAGGCCATCTCGGTGCTCAGGTAATGGGGGATGACCTTACAGTGTACTTGTATAAATTGTTATTAATTGTTGATCTTTTCTTTGGCAGGAAAAGGAAAAAGAGAAAGATAAAATTAAAGAGAAGGAGAAAGATTCTAAAGAAAAGGAGAAAGACAAGAAGACTCTCAATGGACACACTTTCAGTTCCATTCCTGTTGTGGGTCCCATCAACTGTAGCCAGTGTATGAAGCCTTTCACCAACAGAGACGCCTACACTTGTGCAAGTAAGAGATGTGCTTCTTCCTTTCATAAGCTGAACCTCTCTTGGCTCAGGAAAGCTCATTTCTAATTTCCTGTCCATCCCACCCCTTATCTGTTCCTCATTTATGTGGAGAAGTAGCTCTGTTTACATTTTTCTTCAAACATCAGTGAAGAAATTAATTCCAGATATCTAATACACAATCTGTATTTTTTTTCAAAAGCCCCATTTTCAAATATTCTTGTCTTTCTATTCATAAACCACCACCTATTCCAGAAGTCTGTGTCAGCATCAGAGTTATCAGTAGCCTCGAACCCTAAAGTCACCCTTGTCTAGACCATATATGCCCACTTTTAAATCTAGTCCTTCAGTATATGTTTCAGCCACTTGCCAACATTAAGTCAGAATGACTGCCACGGGGGACAGGACCTTTGTATACAGGTGCTCTGTGCCAATCCACTGCTGGCCTGCCTGCAGCCATCTCAGAGGCAAGTCTGTTAACTGAGTGGGTTCCTGGTTTTGATAAGACACTCTCAGGCCAGAGTCAGTTAACTTTCTCTGTATAGAACTTTGATAATAAATATCTTAGGCTTTGTGAGCCATCTGGTTTTTGTCACAGCTACTGAACTCTGCACTTAAGTACAAAATTATCCATGAACATATAAATTAAAGGGTATGGCTTTGATGAAATTAAACATCATTTATGGATATTTAATATTATATAATATTATGGACATTAAAATCTAAATTTCATACATTTTTTACATGTCATGAAATATTTTTAATTTATTTTTTCAAATCATTTAAAATGTAAAAGACATTCATATTCATAGATCCTGGGCTACACAAAAATAGGCTACAGGCCAGATTTGGCTCACACACTGTAATCTGCAAATCTGCTTATAAGGCATTATATCTCAAAAGTTTTTCATTGCACACATAGAAATTAATAATTTTTGTTAAGCGTACAGAGGTAAATCAAGGAGTCTGCTTTGGTCAGAGGTGACCTGTCTGGAGATCCAGCTATCCCAGGGCCAGCCAAATCACTTAGAAGGCCAAGGTGATTAGTATAATATACCTGTAACCAAAACAATGACAAACTCAAATTCCAAAGATCAAGTCCCAGATCATGATGTCATAACATTTTGTTTTTAGTCATTTGTGTTAAATATTCTAAGTAATCTGTTACTAAAAAAAAAAAAAAAATGTTAATTTGTAAATTGTAAATTTTTAAAACTTTATCTGGACAGAAGTTAATTCTATAATAATTTTTACTCGCTTTCTTGAATAAGAGCAGCAAAGAACCTGCAGGTAGCAAAGGACTCGAAGCCTCTTTTATCTATATAGCTATAGCTGTTGTGAATTTTAAATGACTGGCTTTATCCCAAACATTCTTGTAAAATTGTTTCTGTGGATGTTACACCTCCAAAATTGTCTACACCCCTATTCATTTTGCTGTTTTATTTAAAAACAAACAAACACTTGGAAGCATTCATCTAAATCTTTATGTATCCCTGTAGACAAAGATCACACACATTGCTATTACCCTTCATTGGTGACTTACCACAAAATCAAAAATTTCTACTATATGGTGATGAGTATCTTGTGACCTTTAAGAAATAAGAGGCCATTCTTTGTCCAATAGCCCTTCAATATTTTTATTTTAGAACCCATGTTCTAGTAGTACTCTTTCCTAGAATACCAGTTGAATGTCTACAGTTTAGTTTTTTAGACACTAGACACAGTCTGCTTCTTAGTATTAGAATGACTTGTTTACTTAGAGTAGTAGACACTGAGTGATTTTTTAGGCATGTTTATCATTAAAATATTTTTTAGGATATTTACACAGGGAATATACATTTAATGTAAAAATTACAGGAGTCTTTGTATACTTAATGAAGAGCTTATTCTAAGAATCAAAGAAGCCTCAAATTTGCCATTTACTTGTCAGTTATTAGTACAGTTAATATTGTCTTTGATTCATGACTTCTTAGAGGAATTATGTAGCTAGCTCTCTCTTTCATTTTGTTTTTGTTTAAACAAGATAGTACAAACGGTAAGCCCACTTAATTGGGTATCTATGTATTTCCATTTATCACAAATATAGTGAGAGTGAGCAAAAGGTGGGTTCCACATTTGCATTGTGCATCCCTAGTCCACCTCTGAAGTAAGGAGCACCCCTTCCTCCCTCAGGAGACCTCTAGTACCATTATATAAAGTGAGGCTGCCTAATAAAGATTGAGTGAGGCACCAGTATATCAATCTATATATTAACTCCATTTTTCTTTGAAGTGGATTAAAATGACAGTTCTAGGGAGTGGGGGTTTAGCACAGTGGTAAAGCACTTGCCTGGCCTGCAAAAGGTACTGAGTTCTTTCCCCAGCACTGGCCCCTGCCTCTCCAAAAGAAAGAATTAAATGAGAGCTGTAGAAATTTCTTGCCATATTCCAAAGGATCATACCGATCTTGGAAAAGGCCATATTTTTTTATTGGCATCATGACATTTATATTCAAGGAGCTTCATCACTAAAGCAGATTGGATACCTACTCTCTGTTTCACAACATAAAAATGCTGGGTAAAATGTATATATATGTATGTATACATATGTATGTGTATGTATATATGTGAACACATATGTGTGTATGTACATATGTTAATGAATATACAGCTGAAACTGCCAAAAGGAAAATCCCCTGAGTGAACTCAAATCAGAGCAGTAAAGAACATAACCCTCAGGCTGGGGATATAGCTCAGTTGGTAGAATGCTTGCCTCTCACGCATAAGGCCATGGGTTCAATCCCAAGCACAACAATAAAAATCCCTCGATTAGGGACAGGATATGTAGCCTTGGAGTATAGAGTAGGAGCTAGAATTGAGAGCCTTGATAAAATGAAATGCTTCAAAAACTAAGATCTATGATGAAGGGCCTAGAAGAATTCCACCTACTGGCCTTAAAAAGCAGCAAGGGACCTTACCATTTCCCCAGGATGCTCAGTGAAAATTCTAAATGATGCATGAATTGGGGGCCCAAATTGTATATGTGCTCAAACCCAAAACTAAGGAATTTCACAAGAGATTTATTGAATCCTAGTTTAAGGATCTACCACTGAAACAAATACAGAACTGCTCTGTGTGATAACTTTGACAAAAGAATATACCAAGAGGCTACCATGGAGGGAAAAAAAATCCTAAGAAGCTGAGCACACAATAAAATACATAGATGCCATATAAGGAAGTAAACCACTTTAGGGAACATTTAACAGATACATGGGCAAGAGAAGATATTGAAAATTACTGAAAATTTAAAACAAAATCTATAATGAAACAAGCTATAACATTTGGGTAAATATGAAAAGTAAGTGAATAAAACTTCAAGAATAAGCCGGGTATGGTGGCACATACATATAATCCCAGTGACTTTTGAGGCTGAGGCAGGAGGGTTGGCAGTTCAAACCCAGCATCAGCAACTTAGTGAGTCCCTAAGCAACTAAGCAAGACCCTGTCTCTAATAAAATATTTTTAAAAAGCTGGGGATGTGGCTCTGAGGTTAAGCACCCCTGGGTTCAATCCTTAGTAACCTGCCCATCTCCCCAAAAAAACCCTCAGGAATAGCAATAATTGTTGAAGGTTCTCTGTGGAGACTTCTCAAATATTTTAGTATTCTGAATCATCAGCATATTGTTCACATTTGTATTTGTTTATTTTTAAAAAAATTTTTTTAGTTGTCAGTGGACCTTTATTTTTATGTGGTGCTGAGGATCAAACTCAGTGCCTCATACTTGCTAGGTGAGTGCTATACCCCTAGCCACAACCCCAGCCTTTATATTTATTAGTAAAGGAGGAAAATGGCTTCTGCTCTCTTGTCTGCTTTAATAAGGTAAAAGCTGGCCAAATATCCTGGAAAATCTTGATGACTTCAGACTGGGTTTATTTTTTACTTTTAAAATAATTCAGCAAAGATCATTTGCTCAAATTCTGTGAGCTTCTTTTTTTGTTATCATGATCCATTCAGAAGCAGTTAAACAACAAATACCTTTGAGTACTAGTATGTGCCAACCATCTTTCTCAAGTTGCTTATATATTGGTTTATAAAAGTTGTTCTCAAAGTATAATTCTTGGTACTTAGATTAATGTAACATCAGTTATAATGTAGAAAAGTTGAAATTAACCTAAATACCCTCAGATAAAATATAGTGTATGAATTAGATGAAATATTGGGTCAATACTAAAAAGAATAGGATAGATCAGGTGTTGCTAAACTTTTCTGCAATGGAACTGATGTTAGATTTTGTATCCGATCAGGTTTTTGCCATGACCCTACCCTTGTAGGATGAAAGCAACCGTAAATAATACATTTTAAAAAATGAATAAATTACAAAAGCAGGCTACAGGCTGAATTCAGCCCACAGAATATAGTTTACTAATGTCTGAGAGAGATCCACAGGAGTAGACAGAACTCTGCAAGACATTTCAGTGAATTGAAAAGGCGGCAAATAAAACAAAATGTATAGCATGATCCTAATATATGGAAAACAGATAAATGAACTAATTGTTTTTAAATACACAAAAATATCTGAAAGGATATACAACAAACTGTTAACCATCCAGAGAAAAAGAGATAAGAGGTCAAAGGGATCTTTTATTTTATACTCGTGTGTCATTTGAATTTTTTAAGAATAAGCTTATGCATTTGTATTCTTTAAAACACTATGTATTGGACCATTGATAGTTTGAAAGTTTATTCTTGTTACTCGACAGCTGATCTATGATTTAAAAAAGCAATATATGTTCGAGTCAAGAATTTAATAAATAAAGAGCAAAATTATTACTGGAAAAAAATTAGTTTCACAAGACTTGAGAGTTCTGCTAGCACCAGCCTGAAAAAGTTCTATTGACTCTGTTCTGAGTTGTGATGTGAAATATCATCAGAAGGTATAAGGATAAAAGAGAAAGTCATTTGAAGACAAAAAAAAAAATCTTTCTTGTGCTGTAGAGAACATGGGTTTATAGTTAAAATGAATGAA